AGCTCAACTATACACGATATACACCAATTTGGCAAGTATAGACATGAACAGTTTTAGATTTTTCTCAAAAACAATACAATGATGTTTAGTGACAGTTCCGGTTGTAATATATACAACAGCAGATATACAGCGAACCCTGTGTGTTCAACAGTACGTGCAATTCAATACACACCACTCGGAGTTTGACAGGTTCACAGTACACACGTAACCTCTGACTTGCCAAAAGTCAACTCGTGTTATCAAATAACTATATAAACTGTATTTCTATAGCTGTGTAGAAATGAAAAACCCGTGGTATGCTTTGAAGTTCACGGTGAATGATAAATAAGCTATACTTATTAAAGACATGTATACCAAAAGGATTGAGTGAGTGAGTGAGTGAGAGTTAACATTACTTTAGTCCTATCAAGGCGTGTGAAGAAAGCCCGAAATGATACACCTCTCCGGTCATATATAGAGTAAACTACGTTACAAGGAAGTCAACAGGGCAATAATTTTAGTTCGTTAATACTGTAGTTCGTAATACGTATTCCGACTATGGCCATGACAAAAACAACAGTTCGTTATATCTGTCAGTTCGTTATAAGTTTTGAACAGCAAACACCCCACCCCCACCCCCCCTTTGAAAATGGCTGAAGACCACACTGAAGATTTTTGTTTGCTTTGGCGGAGCAATTGGGGGATTCAGGGGTTCTACTAGTAGTAGTTCTCTCGTCACACGAAGACCCGTGTTCGATGTCCCACGTGGGTACAATATGTGTATCCTGTTTCTGGTGTCCCCCATAGTGAAGGTAGTGCACGCTAGGCAGCTGTCGAACCACGAGGGATATTACTGGCTACTAACTTCATATTGATATTTCGCTGACTGTTTTATGCATGTTCTAATACACCACAAACACCGCATCACGCAAGAAAGCCCTTTATATGAACATAATATTCATTTACCTGTCCAATATAATATTCTTTTACCTGTCAAAATAAAACACAATGCAATACCTTTCCCAACAATGAAACAGGTTGTTCGTGCATCAAGGTAATAAATATCCGATTTTCTGAAATCTAGGACAGAAAATATGCTGCTTCCAGCCATGTTATGAAAACCAGCCCGGAATGAATTAACCTTCAACACGCAACCATACACAAACTGATTAAAGGGCCATTGGTTATTAATATATTCTCACTTTGTGTAATGTAAAAAAATATTAGTAGTTTATTCCGACAGGGAGTTATATCGTTAATGCACCTAAACACCAATACCTTAGTGTTTACCTGTTCATCGTTCGTAACATTAACGCTGACTTCAAAGGGTTTACCTGATCTACATACCAACGCTGAAGTTCTAAATATCAAGTAACCGTGCCAATTAAGTAGTTACATAGCTTCCTTACAAATTATACTTAAATGTAATTCGCATTCCGTGAAACATGCCGCTTTAACTGCAGTAATAACTGTGACGCACTTGAAGGAAGAGATTAAACAAGTCTGACTTCAACAGGTGTAATATATGCCAAGTAAATGATACCCACTGACAATAAGAGCAGTTCTGTGTCTATTAGGTCTTTAGAAGTCAAAGGCTTGACACATAGGGTGGATTACGCTCCCGGATTGCAAGTCATGGAACCAATATAGACGGAATCAAGCAGGGTTAACGAACCGGGTATTGTCCGTCTCAACTGTGCTGTTGCTAATAGACTCAGGGAAGTAGGTATCGGTGTCAACGTTTCCCTATATACAGTGAGAGTTATTATCTTTTATCACTCACTCTGACACATGGGTGCCTACACAGTTTGTTTGTTTACATCTGTTGCCATGGTGATGAGTAATAGGCTTGCGACACGTTAAGAAATACCGCAGTTTAAATAAAACGGGTTTGTTTCGGTCGTCGTTGAAACCTGTAATATCATCGACATGCTCAAGACTAATTATTTGTTTCGATTATAAATATACCCCTTTTGTTTTGACATAACGCATGAGTGAAGATAGAGTGTTTCGCTCAAAAGCTGTCTTCTTGGGAAGGGGCGGTGGGGTAGCCTAGTGGTTAAAGCGTTGGCTCGTCACACCGAAGACCCGGGTTCGATTCCCCACATGGGCACAATGTGTGAAGCCCATTTCTGGTGTCCCCCGCCGTGATATTGCTGGAATATTGCTAAAAGCGGCGTAAAACTAAACTCAGTCAGTCAGTCAGTCTTCTTGGGAATGAATACGTGACACATTTTCATAGACAACAACTTGTTTTTGGAATAATGTTGTATATAATAACGGCGATGCCAATGAGATTAACTGGGGATAATGAATTGATGAAGCTGTAGAATGAATAAATAAATGAATGAATGAATGTCTTTATTTCCTTAAGAATTTACATCCTAAGATTTACAAAAGCCCTGATGTTAGTTAGAGCACATGCATGAGTGAGTGAGTTTAGTGTTACGCCCCATTCAGTAATATTCCAGCTTTAAGGCCGCGGTCTGTTAATAATCGAGTCTGGACTAGACAATCCAGTGATTGACATCATGAGCATCGATTTACGCAATTGTATTATGATGGCATGTGTCAACCAAGTCAGCGAGTCTGACCACCCGATCCCAGTCTCTTGCAAGCATGGGTTACTGAAGATCAATTCTAACCCGGATCTCCACGGGTGTAGCACATATATGGTGCTCGATAGTAATACAAGCTGTATATGTATACAACAATATACAACGACACTGACAGAAAAGAAAAATGGAGCAATCAGTTGCTCCGTTTGTGGTTGACGATATGATTAAAGCACTGTAGGAAACGTGCTGCGTAGATTATCTTAAGGGCCTGTTTTCATTGGACAGGTTTAACGATTGAGTATACGTACTTATAACACTCTCCGAGATAATTGTCGAAATATTGATTTGCTTAGCAACTTTTCAAGTCTTAGTCAGCACTACGAACAATTTGATCTTGTTAAGTAAGTACTGACTTTCAGCTTTCAAAGTAAACGCTTTTTCTTGATGAGATAAGTACAAAGAGGTATTTATCGAAATCAGATAACCCGAGACGGGAGCTACTGAAACGTGTGAACAGAAACGCGAGTACACGTTAACATTATTTTGAAGGAGCTTTGAGTCTTATCACAAACTATGTACACGGATACCTGTAGCGATATGCACAAAGATTTACTTGATCAGGGCACAGGCATATTATAACAGTGGTTATTAATATTTTTTCATGTCATATATTCCTGGTTTTAAAGTGTTATGCAATATAGGCTACTGTAAAATAATTATTTTGTCCCTTCTTTGAAAATGCATATTTAGATTTACTTGAAAAGAGATTTAATTGCATGTTGTAGATTATGTAAAACAGGTTATATGTAATGAGTGTTGACACTTTTAACGTGTCTCTGTAGTATGAGAATGAAATTACTAAAATTGAAAAATCCGAGTATTACTTCGAAGACAGTTGGACCAACAATGGTAATAAAATCCTTAGTTAACGTCTCATCATGGCTGCCAATAAGACGTTATAAGTTTTACTCACTTACTTTCGTTTGCATGCTATTAATGAACTTAGACTTAAAGCCAACACAATTTGAGAATAATAACCCCGAACCTTGATAAGTCGAGTTCGAGATAAGGCGGCTGTAACGACTAGAATGTGTAATAGATGACGGAGATTGTATGAATGTACTTTATGAAAGTCTTTTCCCTTTCAAATGTGAGAAAGACGGTGATTTTGACGTAATCGGCCGTAGTACCCGTAATAATACCCAAGCTTGGATAATGGTGACTAGAACACTGATATATGGCCCTACAGCAGTCTCCATGGCATGCAAAAATACAAATCAGGTCACAGGTTTGTGTGCTGGTGAGGTATTTTACCGGGTTTTGTTCAATTGCGTGTTCTGGTATGACTAGTACCAAGTACTATTTCTCGTATGGGAAACGGAAGCTAACAATGGATATTATCGGACTGATAGCGCCCTTATATTGTATAGTTACTCCCATGTCTATATCCACAGTAAACGCTAATATCGGCTTATGTTAAGCACCTATTGTTCATTGGACCTCATCTCTGAAATAAACATATTACAAGGGGAAAAACGGTTTCTACATTATTCATGTTAAATGTATTTAAAAGGAGCCCAGGATCATTCTTCATTTTCAGGAACTGTGGTAATCTAGACTTGTCACATATTCTAAACTTACGGGGCCCACCCACATTTAAACTCTGATCCCAAAAATAATGCGACAAGGAACTTGATTAGGGTGGTGTTTACGATCTACACACATTTTCACAGAGAAGCGTACGATGTACGCAAAGCCCTGGAATTCAAACCTTAAGACATTGCGAAACTACAACACTATGATTTGAACAGATTGGTAATAAAGAAAATTGTTGAGTAAAAAAACACTGAAAGGGTGAAAACCCTGTCTAAACTAGTACCTCTACACGGTAAAACATTTATAAATTATAAGTGACATGTGTAGTGTAAACGAGTCGATAGGGATGTTTCTGTATTCCCTGAAGTCTCAAGTCAGTCAGTTTTAGTAATATTCCAACGATCACAGTGGGGACTTCACACTGTGTACCCAATATTGGGAATCGAACCAGGGCCTTTAGCGTGGCGAGCGAACGTTTTACCCAGGCTACCCACACCGCCCCAGGGTTCTTAGTGGATCGGGGGCGGTGGGGTAGTCTAGTGGTTAAAGCGTTGGCTCGTCACGCCGAAGACCCGGGTTCGAATCCCCACATGGGTACAATGAGTGAAGCCCATTTCTGGTGTCCCCCGCCGTGATATTGCTGGAATATTGCTAAAAGCGGCGTAAAACCAACCTCAGTCAGTCAGTCAGTCTTAGTGGATCGGGTGGCCAGGCTCGGATACTAGACAGTTGTGGGTTATATTGCATGTCATCGTACAACGACGGCGTTGGCCATCAATCACTGGACTGTCTGGTCCAGACTCATATAGCTGGAATATTGCTGAGTGTAAACAAACACCTATGTGATAGGTAGGTAAGTATACTCACCCATGCCAATTTACTTGGGGACGTAGCTTCAATGGTATCCAATCCCGTTGGGTCCACACCGGAGTGTTTTTGTAGACTTCGTTCTCGGGGTAGGTTATTCACAGGTCTTGGTAGGCGACTTTCTTGGGGGTCAGAATCTTTAAGTCGTGGTAAACGACTCCCCGACGTATGTAACTGGTTGTTGATACGTCTGAGTCGACTACGACGATCCTGCGGTGATCGGGAGACAGTCTTTGCGCCAGGCATGACTGAAGGTGGATCTGAATTCCTTCAATCAGATGTGATAACTACGATATCTATCTCTTGAACAACATATCCGAAACATATATTCTTCAAACTCATATTTTCTGCGTTGAAAATGGTCTTTCCAAAATCCTTGATTATAACAAGATGATTGTAATCCAAAGATGTAAGATACTGACGTTGGAATATACACAACACAGTTTCTTTCAAATATTCGAAGGCTGGACACGACTCCCTTTAATTCCGGGTTGTATTGTGCAATGGGTAAATCAAAAACACGACCCGTGCTCACTTTTGCAGAAAGCAATTGTTCCTTGCGATTTCAAGTCCGGTCACGCTTACAGCCAAGACATTCAGCGTTAAGAGTAAGACCCTGTCAGACATACGTAACAGCGTACAAGTGTCCAGTCCAGATTATATCTCCAGGACAAGTGACCAGTGTCCTTCGAGTGACCCGCAGCACACAGCATATAAACCGTTTAGCTTCGTGCGTCAGTGTTATCAACCTTCACTCTCGCTGCTGTTAGCGCGATACAATCAGAACGGCGAGAGCTTTTGACGACAGCTCGGAAAACAATGTCACGTGATCATTGTTGACAAACTGCCTACTGTGACGGCTCAATGGTATTCGGCAGCCGGGAACAGTGCGTAAATCACTGTTGGATTTAAATTTCATCAAACGTTGACACGAAGGGGATATGTCTCAATCTTGTCTTGACCAAAGGAGGTTATTAGAAATATAAACGGAGAAAATAAAAAAGAACACGATATTACTTCAAAGGCGCCTTCTTATCAAAACCGACGATGAAGCGACAGGTGCGTGTGGTAATTTATCATATGTGAGATTTAGTATGGCAAATCAATCTTCACTGAAACACCAGTTCGAACTCGCGTTACTGCGTTGATAGACTTAACGAGGCCGCCGTAGTATCGTCGCTGTGGTTACCCACAACGTGAACGATATTAACAGGTAACCACGAAACACCGAAGCTCCTCTCCACGTGGTGTTGAGATGTTCCAACTGCAGTAAAACATGTGGCCCTACTCCACTTACATAATAACTCCTGCCGTGAATCAACAGTTTATCGCAGTGAGTATCCAAGCACAACTGAAGTTTATATCGCTCGTCTCTATGATGGTATTGAAGCTGGATTGCTTTATTGGAGTTTATTCCGTGGAATGTGATTCGCACTCAACTGGTTGGTAAACTTAATAATTTCGAAATAATATCATTATGTTTTGACACTAATCCAAAATGAAGGGTTCAGGCAACCCGTGATTGCGCTCTGTTTACTTCTGTCAGCCAAGTCATATGTATATTGTAGTTATTAGACTTTATAGGTTATATAAACACTTGACGAATCAATATGTCAAGAACGCTGGTATAAAACCATCACCTTAACTGACCTACTTTGAAGTTATCTGACAAACAAAATCAATATAACCACTTGATAATAAACGCAGCTCTAAGCATAATCACGAATTTGATAAGCCTTAAAAAATATATAAATTGCACCCACACAAAACGTATCGGGCGTTGCTCCAGATTAGGGGCCCGGATTACGATCAGTGCACGACTAGCAATCTTGACTCCACGAAGCCATTTTTGCGCTAGGACTCTCATAGGCCTGTGCTAAATTTTGAAAGTTATCTTAGCGCTAGGATCGCTTTGTGAAAATGGACATGAGCATGCAAGTTTAATTTAATAAAGGCGCAAAGACTACATATATACTCTTCAAAAAAGAAACGCACAGGCGTTTTCAGCAGTTCATTTCGATATATTTTGACAGCAATTGTCATTACGATAATTCATATGTTTGAATCCTGTTGATCATGTCGTGGTTGTTGTGTCATGCGCGCAAACACATCCCAAAATGTGTTTGTAAACGTTTGTGATATAAAATGAAAACTGTAGATGAAAAGTGCATGCAGAAAACGTTTTCCACGTAATGCACGTGCAATGTGTCGGAAACATGAGAAGAGACGTCGACTATAAAAGGCCAAACCAAATTCATGATTTCATTACGAAAGGTACGACGTAAACGAAGATACAAAATGCCAAGATTGAATGCTACTGACTAAAATATTGCCATTGGACGTTTTGAAGCAGGGGAGTCCCAGCCTGCCGTTGCAAGACACTTCAACGTCCACCACAACACCATATCCCGATTATGTCATCAATATACCCGCTTCAATTCGACCCAAGATCGTCCAAGAGGTGGATGACCAAGAGTGAACACTCCTGTTCAGGGCCGATTCATCCGGGTGTTTCACACACGTCACCGATTTGCTACAGCAACGGACACTGAAGGACAGGTGACTGGTCTTCCAAGAATTTCCGACGAAACAATCAGAAATCGTCTGAGAGAAGTGGGAATTCGAACATATAGGGCAAGAGTTAGACCTGTTTTGATACGACTACACCGACAACGACGTGTCCAATGGTGCAACAGGATACAGGCATGGAACCCGGGGAACTTGCGACGCTTTTGGTTCAGTGATGAGTCACATTTCCTCCTGCAACGACGGGACAAAGTGACAAAGTGTCTATCGACGTCCACACAAACATTTTGCGCCGAACTGCGTTCGACAGGTGGAAAGATTTGAAGGCGCGGGACATAGCGTCATGGTGTGGGGAGCCATGTACTACACAGGTAGATCAGAGCTGGTGGTGGTTCAATGCAACCTTACTGCAAATCGCTTCATCGATCAAATCCTACGACCTCATCTCATCCCACTTTTTAACTGCCAAAATGAAAATACTCGACCCCCCATAGATTGTGTAAGATGTGCCTATCTAGCCAATGTAAACGTCAATGGCCTTCCCTGGCCTTCCAAATCGCCTGATCTGAACCCGACCGAGCATCTATGGGACGAACTTGATCGACGCGTTCGTAAACGTCGAAGTTTTAGTGACCCGAATGAATACTTCGATTTATACGAGGTTTGACATAACCGGAAAATGATCATAAGACTATCTTGTCTCCATCTCTTAAAAAAATGGTCAGCTTTTTGTTTGTTGTTTAAAGCAGCGCACAGCTTTATTCCAGCTATATGGCTGCGGTTTGTAATTATTATGAGTCTGTACCAGACAATCCAGTGATTGACATCATGAGCATCGTTCTATGTAGTTGGAATACGATGTTACGTGTTGACCAAGACAGAGAGTCTGACCACCCGATCCCGTTAGTCGCCTCTTACGGCATGCATGGGTTGCTGAAACACATGGTGGGAGAAAAGCCTGTGGTGTGTGTGTGTGTGTGTGTGTGTGTGTGTGTGTGTGTGTGTGTGTGTGTGTGTGTGTGTGTGTGTGTGTGTGTGTGTGTGTGTGTGTGTGTGTGTGTGTGTGTGTGTGTGTGTGTGTGTGTGTGTGTGTGTGTGTGTGTGTGTGTTGGGGGTTGTCCTACGTACTGCAACCCTCACTGTCCACATTACGTTCCGTCACATCAAAGTGTAATTTACGTACAGATCTTTACATCGCAGCGTATACTTGCCTGATAAAAGTTGAACAAATGTATGCAACTGGCCATGGCTGCATTAAAAACCTCTCCACGAAGACAGTTGACGGTCATTCCTTGCTCTGTGTAAGATATATTAACGAAGTTAATAATTATCGATTTCGATTCTATTTGTTGGGGTTTGTCAAATCCTGGATTCTTTAGTAATTTGCTGGAACTCAATGATGAAAGATCAAAAGCTTTTATTTTGGGGTCCTCATTAAAACTAAAACAATGTCACATTGGTCAGCTAAACATTGGCCGGCCCGGTATCCGTCTTTCTATCCAGTGAAGAACCTAGGTGTATATATTGACTCTAACCTCAACATGGAGGATCAAGTATCTTATCGATGTAAAACCGGCAATTTCCATATCCGGAACATGAGCGCAATTCGCTATATCCTTACTAGAAGTGTCACAGAAGCCCTTGATAGTTCATTTATACTTTCTGGGATCCATTATTGTAACATTTGCTAGAGGGTACAAAACACTGATACAGAAGATACGAAATAAACCTGCCAGGATAACAACTATAGGAATAAACAACGTTCACGTATTACACCGGTGTTGAAAACACGCCATTGGCTTACGCGCACAAAAAGACTGATTCCAAGAACTTGTCACTGGTTTTTCTGGCTCTTCGTAAAATTGATCCGCCCTATCTTTAAGACCTGGTTCATCCACCAGCAAAATCAAATCGTTTGGTGCCAGAATGTTGTCCTATTGAACAACAACCTTATGGAACTCGCTCCCTTTTGAAATCAAACTAGTTCCTTCCTTGCCAGTCTTTAAATTAAGACTAAATCCCCATCTATACTGAACAGCAAAAGAAACGCAAGTTTCGAAAAAATGCAATCTCATAAAAGTAAGCGTTCATATTTATGGAACGTTCATGGTAAAGTGACGTAATGATCCCAGGTGAGATGATGTCATGCAATTTGACGTCCATAGGAAACATTCACACAAACACAATCACAGTTCAGCAAAAACATAAATTTAGCACGTGCATCGACGGTTCTGGATGGAAAGCATGCATTTCACCCTGAGATATCCTTTAGAAAGGTTTGTGTCCAAAAAAAGGTTTAGTATTGACGCTAGGAGGTGTACACGCCACACAAACGATGCCTAGACTGACGACTGGGCAGAGGGGAATGGCCATTGGAAAGTTGCACGGAGGGAGCTCTGCAACCGCTGTAGCTAGACAATTGGGCTGTCATCTTACCACCATTACACGACTTGCTCAACATCATTAGCAAACCGGCGTTGCTGCTGATCGTCCCCGTACCGGACGGCCACGAGTGACAACTCCGGGTCACTCATCTAAGGAACCGAACTCAAGCAGCAACAGTAACAGCAACCTTAGCCCATGGGCCAAGGGGATCAGTGTCCAGCGATACGATTAGGCGTCGTCTTCGGGCTGCTGAAATCCACTGCCGACACGTCAACAACACCAGCGACGTTTACAGCCCTCACACAGCCAGAGTATCGATGGATTTTCTGGCTCAGAACAACATTAACGTTCTTCCATGGCCGTCTCTTTCCCCGGATATGGCTGCCATCGAACTTTCTGGGACGAAATTGAGCGGAGGATTGCTGCAGGCAGACAGCCACTCACACTTGCACACTTGGAACAGAGACTGGCGTTTGAGTGGAAACACTTGCCTCGGGCATTCTTTCAGACTCTCGTGAACTCAATGAGACGACGTTGCACGGCCTGCGTGCAAGCTCAAGGTGGCTATACGCGCTACTGAAGAGACTGTCACTTTTCGCGTTCAGGGGTATCTCCATTTGACGGACTAGGATCAATTTGAACGTATTGCAATTCAATGTCAACAGCAACATTTAGCTGTTAAATTGATAGTGTTTTCTATAGAATTAATGATTAGACATAAGTTTGGTTGTCTTCTGTTAAACAACTTGACAAAAAGCCAGACTTGCGTTTCTTTTGCTGTTCAGTATATTTCTTCATTACGTTTAATTTTCTGCTCTTTTGTACATACCTCTGTTCTCGTTTATCATGTTAGCATGAGTCAGTTTTACCCCGCTTTTA